GGTCAGTCCCTATTATGCCAGTTTGTGGGGCAGGTCGAGGACCCCGACACTCCCAGCTCTGGGCCCGGGGCATGAAACATGCAGCAGCAGGAGGCACATTTGCCTCTGTGCCAAGTGCATGCTGCCGGCCCCCTTCGGCACCCTGCACGGTGGGGCGAGGGGGTCCTCCCTCTGGGAGCAGATGGGAGGTGCAGTGCCCCCCCTTCCCTTGGGGCTCCTGGCCACCGTTGCAGGACTCAGCAGCAGGGACCGGCCTCCCTCAAGCCCCAGGCTTTGGGGCACCATTGCAGGAAGTGCAGCTTGTGAAGAGAGAGGGGCTTGGGTGCACCTGACCAATCCAGCACAGGCTCCCTTCTGTGACTCCGCCCACCCCAGCTCCCCCTGGGCAGCTGCCTGGGCCCATACCCAGCCCCCAATCAGGTTTCCTCAGGTTGAAGGAGAGGTCAGAGGGAGGCAGCTATAGGCCAGCAAGGCCCAGGGCAGCGCAGCACTGTACCTGGTGCACCCCGCCTGGCCGGACATAGGCCGCATGCATCCGAGCCCCGGAGACCCGCTCGTAGAACTCAAACAACTGCAGGGGACAGAAAGAGCACGGCTCACCCACGTGCCCAGCGCCCGCAGGGCACCAAGCACGAAGGAGAGGTCAGAGGGAGGCAGCTATAGGCCAGCAAGGCCCAGGGCAGCGCAGCACTGTACCTGGTGCACCCCGCCTGGCCGGACATAGGCCGCATGCATCCGAGCCCCGGAGACCCGCTCGTAGAACTCAAACAACTGCAGGGGACAGAAAGAGCACGGCTCACCCACGTGCCCAGCGCCCGCAGGGCACCAAGCACGAAAAACCCCTCCCCCCCCCCCCCCCAGCCCTGAAGCGATGCCGGCTTGGCCAGATCCACCCCACAGAGCAACCCAGAGGCCCTGTTCCCTGGGGGAACAAGGAGCAGCCAACAGCTCTTCCTGCCAACACCCTGGCATGGCTGGTCACCCCCCCGGAAGGACCCCGTTTGTAAACCAGGACGCACCAGAGAGCTCCACAGAACAAGTCAGTGTACCCCAGGCTGCCCCGTGAGCTCCAGCCAGCGCACCAAGCCTGGCTCTCAGCACAGACTGCCCTCCCGGGAGTCGCTCCTCTCTGGCTACCCAAGCAGCAGACCGTGGGGCAGCATCCCACACGTCAGAGGCAAGGACCAGGCGCCTCCAAGGGCTGCCAGGGAGCCAGGCAGGAGAGCAGCCTGAAAAGTAGGTTCCCCAGGGCCTGTGTACTTTACCCCGGGCTTTGGCAAAGGGCTGCTTAGCACCGGCCTGGGCTGCAGACTCCACAGCAGTGACTGAGCCAGCAGCAGTTTCATGGGCGGCCCCATCTGACTCAGGCTGCCATCAGCATGTCCCTGGGCCAAGGGGGAATTCCTCCCAGGTGCTGAACCACCCGCTTCCCTCCCTTGCTGGGCCAGGAAAATTTTCTCCCATCTCAGTACTGTCCCACTCGCTGCACTGTGGGGTGGGAGCTGGTTGCAGAGGCTCATGCTATGGCCCGTCCTAGACAGGATGCTGGAGCAGAGAGGCCACCGACCCACTGGATTCTGGCTGCCCAGCTCTGCGCCCCAGGAAAGCGCAGTTAGAGCAAGCTCTGGGTTTTACCTTCTCTCTCTCCTCGAACATCCAGAAGAACGGAGTCATGGCCCCGACGTCCAGGGCATGGGTAGTGAGAGCCATTATGTGATTCATAATCCGTGTGATCTCGCCGAAGAGAACTGGGATGGAGGTAGAGAGAGACCCCCCGTCAGAGAAAGGCAGGCAGCCTTGGGGGAAGGGGCAGAGCAGCATGTGTCCAGCACACTCGCACACTAGGGAAGCAGAGTGGCGCGTGTCCAGCACACTAGCAGAAGGTGCAGAGTGGCACATGTCCAGCACAGTCACGCACTAGGGGAAGGGGCAGAGTGGCACACAACCGGCACACTCACACACTAGAAAAGCAGAGCGGCGCATGTCCGGCACACTCGCACACTAGAAAAGCAGAGCGGCTCATGTCCGGCACACACACACTAGGGGAAGGGGCAGAGCGGCGCGTGTCCGGCACACTCGCGCACTAGGGGAAGGGGCAGAGCGGAGCGTGTCCGGCACACTCGTGCACTAGAAAAGTAGAGCGGCACGTGTCCGGCACACTCGCGCACTAGGGGAAGGGGCAGAGCGGAGCGTGTCCGGCACACTCGTGCACTAGAAAAGTAGAGCGGCACGTGTCCGGCACACTCGCGCACTAGGGGAAGGGGCAGAGCGGAGCGTGTCCGGCACACTCGTGCACTAGAAAAGTAGAGCGGCACGTGTCCGGCACACTCGCGCACTAGGGGAAGGGGCAGAGCGGGGTGTCTCCAGCACACACGCGCGCACTAGGGGAAGGGGCAGAGCGGGGTGTCTCCAGCACACACGCGCGCACTAGGGGAAGGGGCAGAGCGGGGTGTCTCCAGCACACACGCGCGCACTAGGGGAAGGGGCAGAGCGGGGTGTCTCCAGCACACACGCGCGCACTAGGGGAAGGGGCAGAGCGGGGTGTCTCCAGCACACACGCGCGCACTAGGGGAAGGGGCAGAGCGGGGTGTCTCCAGCACACACGCGCGCACTAGGGGAAGGGGCAGAGCGGGGTGTCTCCAGCACACACGCGCGCACTAGGGGAAGGGGCAGAGCGGGGTGTCTCCAGCACACACGCGCGCACTAGGGGAAGGGGCAGAGCGGGGTGTCTCCAGCACACACGCGCGCACTAGGGGAAGGGGCAGAGCGGGGTGTCTCCAGCACACACGCGCGCACTAGGGGAAGGGGCAGAGCGGGGTGTCTCCAGCACACACGCGCGCACTAGGGGAAGGGGCAGAGCGGGGTGTCTCCAGCACACACGCGCGCACTAGGGGAAGGGGCAGAGCGGGGTGTCTCCAGCACACACGCGCGCACTAGGGGAAGGGGCAGAGCGGGGTGTCTCCAGCACACACGCGCGCACTAGGGGAAGGGGCAGAGCGGGGTGTCTCCAGCACACACGCGCGCACTAGGGGAAGGGGCAGAGCGGGGTGTCTCCAGCACACACGCGCGCACTAGGGGAAGGGGCAGAGCGGGGTGTCTCCAGCACACACGCGCGCACTAGGGGAAGGGGCAGAGCGGGGTGTCTCCAGCACACACGCGCGCACTAGGGGAAGGGGCAGAGCGGGGTGTCTCCAGCACACACGCGCGCACTAGGGGAAGGGGCAGAGCGGGGTGTCTCCAGCACACACGCGCGCACTAGGGGAAGGGGCAGAGCGGGGTGTCTCCAGCACACACGCGCGCACTAGGGGAAGGGGCAGAGCGGGGTGTCTCCAGCACACACGCGCGCACTAGGGGAAGGGGCAGAGCGGGGTGTCTCCAGCACACACGCGCGCACTAGGGGAAGGGGCAGAGCGGGGTGTCTCCAGCACACACGCGCGCACTAGGGGAAGGGGCAGAGCGGGGTGTCTCCAGCACACACGCGCGCACTAGGGGAAGGGGCAGAGCGGGGTGTCTCCAGCACACACGCGCGCACTAGGGGAAGGGGCAGAGCGGGGTGTCTCCAGCACACACGCGCGCACTAGGGGAAGGGGCAGAGCGGGGTGTCTCCAGCACACACGCGCGCACTAGGGGAAGGGGCAGAGCGGGGTGTCTCCAGCACACACGCGCGCACTAGGGGAAGGGGCAGAGCGGGGTGTCTCCAGCACACACGCGCGCACTAGGGGAAGGGGCAGAGCGGGGTGTCTCCAGCACACACGCGCGCACTAGGGGAAGGGGCAGAGCGGGGTGTCTCCAGCACACACGCGCGCACTAGGGGAAGGGGCAGAGCGGGGTGTCTCCAGCACACACGCGCGCACTAGGGGAAGGGGCAGAGCGGGGTGTCTCCAGCACACACGCGCGCACTAGGGGAAGGGGCAGAGCGGGGTGTCTCCAGCACACACGCGCGCACTAGGGGAAGGGGCAGAGCGGGGTGTCTCCAGCACACACGCGCGCACTAGGGGAAGGGGCAGAGCGGGGTGTCTCCAGCACACACGCGCGCACTAGGGGAAGGGGCAGAGCGGGGTGTCTCCAGCACACACGCGCGCACTAGGGGAAGGGGCAGAGCGGGGTGTCTCCAGCACACACGCGCGCACTAGGGGAAGGGGCAGAGCGGGGTGTCTCCAGCACACACGCGCGCACTAGGGGAAGGGGCAGAGCGGGGTGTCTCCAGCACACACGCGCGCACTAGGGGAAGGGGCAGAGCGGGGTGTCTCCAGCACACACGCGCGCACTAGGGGAAGGGGCAGAGCGGGGTGTCTCCAGCACACACGCGCGCACTAGGGGAAGGGGCAGAGCGGGGTGTCTCCAGCACACACGCGCGCACTAGGGGAAGGGGCAGAGCGGGGTGTCTCCAGCACACACGCGCGCACTAGGGGAAGGGGCAGAGCGGGGTGTCTCCAGCACACACGCGCGCACTAGGGGAAGGGGCAGAGCGGGGTGTCTCCAGCACACACGCGCGCACTAGGGGAAGGGGCAGAGCGGGGTGTCTCCAGCACACACGCGCGCACTAGGGGAAGGGGCAGAGCGGGGTGTCTCCAGCACACACGCGCGCACTAGGGGAAGGGGCAGAGCGGGGTGTCTCCAGCACACACGCGCGCACTAGGGGAAGGGGCAGAGCGGGGTGTCTCCAGCACACACGCGCGCACTAGGGGAAGGGGCAGAGCGGGGTGTCTCCAGCACACACGCGCGCACTAGGGGAAGGGGCAGAGCGGGGTGTCTCCAGCACACACGCGCGCACTAGGGGAAGGGGCAGAGCGGGGTGTCTCCAGCACACACGCGCGCACTAGGGGAAGGGGCAGAGCGGGGTGTCTCCAGCACACACGCGCGCACTAGGGGAAGGGGCAGAGCGGGGTGTCTCCAGCACACACGCGCGCACTAGGGGAAGGGGCAGAGCGGGGTGTCTCCAGCACACACGCGCGCACTAGGGGAAGGGGCAGAGCGGGGTGTCTCCAGCACACACGCGCGCACTAGGGGAAGGGGCAGAGCGGGGTGTCTCCAGCACACACGCGCGCACTAGGGGAAGGGGCAGAGTGGCGCGTGTCTGGCACGCTCAGGCACTAGAGAAGCAGAGCGGCACGTGTCCGGCACACACACACACACACACACACACACACACTAGGGGAAGGGGCAGAGCGGTGCGTCTCCGGCACACACGCGCACTAGGGGAAGGGGCCGTGCCAGCCATGGGCTCAGCCCTTCGCGGGCCCAGGGCAAGTCTGTCTTAGGAAAGATGCAGTGGCAGGCGCCTTCCACCTCTCTGCAGTGCCTCTTGTGCCCTCGTTCAGAATGGCAGCAATGGGCTCTGAGGGGCTGGGCATGGGGATGTGGGAGCAGGGGCAGGATATGCAGGGAGCCCGGAGGTTCATCCCCCGCCCTCCAGAGGGCGACAGAGCCCTGGAGAAACCGAGGTCTGGTTGAGCACGAGACCCCCGGCTGCTAACATGGCCTGGAGCCTCTTGCTCGCTCAGTGCATTATGGGCATAGGGTGCCTGGCACCACCGATTCTCCTAGAGACCCAGCCAGCGACCTGGGCGCCAGCCAGAGCGCACAGGGCAGGTGTGGCAGGGAGGGGCGTAAAGACGACGCGGGTGGTTCCTAGAAGGAACGGGGAGGGGCTGGCTGCCTTTGGGACCCGCCTCCACAGAGCAGCCCGGCAGGGAAGGGGACGCCGGCCAGGAGCAGGATGGCTCACCTCGGATCCACTGGGCCCTCAAGGGTGGAGTGATGTTCAGTAGCTTCTCCACCGCCAGGGAATAGGCCTGCTCATTGCACATCATGGACACGTAGTCGAGACGATCGAAATACGGCAAAGCCTGCGGCAGAGAAAGGCCCGTCGGCCTGCGGACCCAGCCTGGCTCCGGGGTCACCCCAACTCTCGTGGGCCAGAGGGGATCTCTTCACCCACCCTGAGTAAGGGGAACAGTGCCCAAGGCCGCTGAGCAGCCAGCCAGAACTGCCGGAGAGCTTGGGTCATTCCTTCCTGCCTCCCCAGGATGAGACCGGACAAGGGCATCGGCGCCAGCATCCCAGCCTCGCTACGTGCACCCAAGCAGCCAGGGTCTCACTAAAAGACAGCCTGGTGCCTTGGGCACTGCTCCAGAGCAGAGTGGTGGGAGAATGCCCCCGGCGCACTCACCAGCCCCAGGACTAGTGGGAGTCACCCACTCAGGGACTGATAAGACCTGGGACGATTGAAGTAACATACACGCAGGCCTGTCACCTGAGAGCAGCCCCACTGCATACTGGAAGGAGCCCTGCACAACGCCTACAGCAGTGGTCCCCCAACTTCTCCTCTCTCCCCCCTTACTAGTGGGGGAATGTATTCACATACACACCCCAGGCTGCCAGCTAAGAGTGGGGGACAGGGCACAGAGCTGGGGCTGCAACTGCAGCCAGGGCCAAAGCAGAGCTGGGGGAGCAGAGGGACTGGGTGGCGCGACCTTCACAGCCCCTTGTGAGGGCTAGGACAGGCCCCATCGTAAACACACCCTGGGGGGGCACATCTCAGTTTGAAAACCACTGGCCTACACAGTCGGATATTTCTAATGGCCCCCGTGCCCCGTGCGACTGTTCTGCTGACGGATGAAAACCAGAGTGCGTGGGTTTGTACTGAAATCAGGGTGAGGAACTGGGGAACTCTGGTGCAGGTCTCCCTCTGCAGCACCACAAGGCCCCATCGTAAACACACCCTGGGGGGGCACATCTCAGTTTGAAAACCACTGGCCTACACAGTCGGATATTTCTAATGGCCCCCGTGCCCCGTGCGACTGTTCTGCTGACGGATGAAAACCAGAGTGCGTGGGTTTGTACTGAAATCAGGGTGAGGAACTGGGGAACTCTGGTGCAGGTCTCCCTCTGCAGCACCACAGTAGGAAACCCCTGCAAAGCGCGGGGGGGGGGGGGGGGCGGGTGGGGGGGACGCTGCGCT